AGTTCCATCCTATAATTTTTTTAAAAATCTTTAAAAAAAAGATTCAAAACAGCAGCATTTTCCCAAGGGAAGGATTCTTATAATTAAATTAAAAATTTATTTCAAATCCATCTGAAAGTCTGTTTGTAACTTTCCAAAATCAAGGTTCTAATCACCCTTTTGCTGTTTATTCAAAATAATAATAATAATAATTTTTTAAAGTCCTTAAGCCTGTATTTAAAATTTCTTTCACAAAGGATTGAAGGAGACTCACCCGGTGCTGGTAAAAAAAACCCTTGTCATTCTGAAGGTTCCTAATAACTGGAAAACTGTTAACAAGCAATTTCCAAAGTGTTTAGAAAAGGAACTATGCAAATCCTGTGTCCATAAAGACACCAACCATGGTTTGGGCCAAGATGGCATTCCCTCGTCTCTCAGAGCTCTGAACCCGCTGGGGACCACTGTCTTGCAGTCTCCCCATGAGAAGCAACTGTCTGGAGCACTTGTGGGCAATTCCAAGTCTTCAGTTTGCCATTTCTTCCCCAGAAGTCAAGCCAACCTCAATTCTTGATGACATTGTGGGCGTGCCCATGTAGTTTTCTTTGCAATAATATGAAAGCAATTTGCCATGGTTTTCCATATCAACTTTCCTATCTAACAACAGCCTTGGTATTTCCTGGTCTCCCATCCAAGTACTAATCAAAAGGGCTGTGCAATGCTTTGGATTTGGTTCAGAAGATACATCAGCAAGGGCAGGAGCAACCAATACACCTTCAGAAAAAGATGTATTTTCTGAATTACATCTAATGTACTGCACAATCCTACTGACCAAATATAATCCTGATCAGGTTTTCAAGATAAGCCAAAATCAGCTAGGTTAGAAAGGCATCTTTGGGCCATGGGAAGCAGAATGTGAGGATGAAACCCTAAAAAAGTAACCAAAACATAAGCCCAAACCTCTAGAAAAAAAAAAGCAGGCTGAATATTCTCCAGTAACATCACTGCATCAGTATCCAGCAGGCACTTGCTGCTGAATAATAAAATATTCATCTGACCACTAAGACATTATCTGTCCCCTGATCCAATTCTGGATCTAACCTGATAACAATTGTGTATCAGTGCATAACCAGCACAAACCGCCCAAATGTGTAGGCTTCAATCAAAATTCTTCTCCTGCCCTGGATTCTTGGATGGTAGCCCAATGACATTGGATGATAGCCCAATGAAACTGCAAAGTTAAAAGGCTTCTTGGGAAGTATCTGGTCTTAAAACCATAGAAAACATCTGTCAGTTAGAAGTAGATTCAGTACAACAAGCACATTCACCCTGTCAATCGTGGGGTAATTCATGTTAAGATCTTGCAGATGTTCTTATATCTTTGAATGCTAACACTTTCAGGAGGAATCAACTTGGAGATCTTAATGACCAGAGAAATTTCCACACAACCCACCTCTTCCAGACATGTGCTTCCTTTCTAAACAGAAAAACTCACATTTTGCAATGTGAGTTGTCAGTATCTTCTACTTGGGAAAATGTTATATTTCTTCCAGGCAGTGTGTTGGTTATATAATTGTGTCCAGAGTACAACTGCCTAAACGTTGCAATATCTAGTGCAAATTTAATGCAATAGAAATATTAATCAGTGGTGTAATTTCTATGAAATTGGCCAGCCTTGTTCTCTCTCTCTCTCTTTTTCTTTTATTTATTAGCCACCTAGGGTCTCCAAGGTGCTGGGTGGCTTAGAAATTGGATTAAATAACATAAATAAAAAGGCAATGATGATGGCATCATCATTTTCTTAAATTATTTTTAGAAAGAGTTTTTAAGATATAATTCAAATATCCTCAATTTGTGTTATCCACCCCATAAAGCCTTAGCATAGGAGAACGAATCCAGGGATACCATCTAAATTCTTGGATATTTATTGTTAAAGAGCACATTTACAGATCACCACTATTTCTTTCCCTAAACCCCTCCAAAGCACTTCAAAGCTGTCCTCTGATCATATTCAGTTATGTTGACCTTGGAATGCTGAGAACCTGCTTACTATGAGCCCATCAGTGCTCCCTCCAACTAGACAACAGAAGAAAACAAAAGTGGTATTCAGCCAGCTCTCTGTCCCCTAAACAGGCATGGCTCCTGTAACTATAAAAATCACCTTATCCCCATTTCACCCATAAAGAAAATAAATCAAACTGCTAGCTCCTCTGTATATGCCAGAAAATCTGAGGGTTACTAAGAGAGAGGTGCAAAGCCACCAAGCCATCTTTCCTCTGCTGCATTTATTAGCCCCTGCAAGTTCTGATGGTGACAGTATTGTATGTTGACATTTTTGTAACCAGGCATTTTGCTCAATAGTTTCAACCACGTTTACATGTTGCTGCAGCCGTGAAATGGAGGAGACACAGTCTGAAATAAGAGGATACTGAAATTTAAGGGAGGTCCCAAAAGCCAGTCAACATCATGCAAGTTTAGTAGTCAAGAGACAATTCCAAAGTGGATCAAAGCTGCCATGTAGAGGTGCCCTAGGTTTTGCCATGCAAAAATATATCAGTGTATCTAGAACTTCTTAGTGCTGCAAAAAGTGGCGATCAACTACAGTGGAAGAGTCCATATCATACTAGCAACAAGGTACCACACTTAATGTTCAACCTCCATGTACTGAAACTCTACACTCATTCTGAAAAATGTTTCTTTCAGGTCACAGGTCCCTTTTATGGCTACCATTCAAGTTATCCACAGATATTCCCCAAGTGGCCTATATTGCCTCTACAGAGATTTTTCATTTGGCCGCAACCAGCACCACCCTCACATCAAGCAGCTAAGCTTCCCCAGAAGAAGCCTCAACAAACTCCAGGAACTAAGCAGTCCAACCAAAGGCCACAGTTACCACCACGGCAACCAAGACCTCAGCAGCCACCACCACCACCTCAACCAAAACAGCCACAAAAGACCAACCCATCTCACACTCACCCACAAGTGCCAATGCAGCATCCTACGGAGGGAAAACAGCAACATCCCCAGGTAAATGAATAGATTTGAGAAATTAATGTACTCAAGGGTAATCTCTCCCTAGATTGATTACAACATTTCTTAAGTAAGCATCATCTGCCAGTGAAAGGCAGTGGGATTGTAGAAGACTGCTTGCTTGATGCTTCTCATACAAATTTTGAGAACATAGGAGCCATCGTTAAGAGAATATGGTTAACCTGTATTTAATTGTAGAATCCTGAAGGCCTCAGATAAAACTGAGAGAGAGAGAGAGAGCTTAGGGGAGGAGAAAATGCTTTTCTCTATTCATTAGTGGATTCACTTGGTTTACAATTTGCACCAAACTGCAGCAGTTTGGGCTTAGTTTATTTTGTGAAATTAGCAGCCATGATTTGTCCCCTTTATGTCTTACTGCAATGTACAAACCCAGCTGATATTGATCAAAACATAATTAACATATTATTTTTCTGCAATATAGGACACCCCCACCCACACTGTAGTGTGATAAGAACTTGACTCAGTTGTTTCTCAAACTGCAACATTTACTCAACAGAATACTACATATATCTATTAAAATGGACTGGAGTCCACAAAAGCTTATGCCCAAATAAATGTATTAGTTTGTAAGATGCAACAAATCTCTTGGTTGGCTTAGCTGCACTTGACTAACATAGCACACATGACATTTATTTATGATCAAAGATCAAACACACCTTTTTAAAACACCACTAAGCTGTTCTCTCCAAGGCATCATGTTGGACTAATGCAGTTACCACTCTGAGAACTTATTTTAATCTTTGGGGTACACTGGCATTATTTATTGTCTGAATCTTTACTGTGTAATTTAATTGTTAGTTTTCTGTGAGACTCCATTAGAATATTTACATGCAGTGGTTGGGTTGTACGTATTTAATTGTAGAATCCTGCAAACCGTGATATTTACCTGTGCAAACTTTCCCTCAATGCACCTTGTTTTAAAACAACATGCATAAAACAACATGCATTGAGGGGAAGTTTGCACAGGTAAATATCAGGGTTACCTAGAATTTAGCTCCATTTGGATTTTCAGGTTATATCCTAACAGTGTTTTGGTAAGATACCATTCATGTGTTCAGCTGCAAGTCATCATGTTGTAAGTCACTCACAGGGCAATCCTTCGGTGTCTTTTCAGGAGCAAAATCCCATCAGGTTAAATTGGCACTTCCTGCCTGCAAACAAATATTGTATAGTCTTGGCGCATCTATTCATAGAAGTAATTTTTTTCCCACTACCTATATTATTTAGAGCTAAGCTACCAGAACAGAAACACTTTGTAGTCATTTCAGTAACTGAAGGCTGCCTCAAAAGATTACTGTGCTGCAGTCACCACGTGGCGACAGTGCTGTGATTTTTATGTTGTAAATACAAAACAACCTGTTCTTTTTCTTTTCCAGGCCTTTGCTCCATATCCACAACAGCCTTGGCATTTTCCACAGGTGAGCCAATCTTCCTGATGTAGAAATCTGATGTTGGTTGATTAAACAGTAGTTCAATAATAGTTGATTGATTTGGGTCTATTAAAAATGCCTTGGAGGGCCGGGGTAGAGACAGAGATAATGATATAAAAATCCATAGGTGGTACGTGCCGCCTTAGTGGAGAAATGCTTCCTCCATTCAAACCCAGGAAACAAAGCCTGTTCTGAAAATGTTATCTATTATGACATGCTCATGTATTCTCCAGCAAAAGCATAACTAAACCCAGCTTAGTTCTTACTAAACGCTGATGATTAATGTGGCCGTCGCCAACCTGAAGCCTCCAGATGTATGGATTTCAAGTCCAGAATACTCATCTGGGAGAGTATTCTGAGAGTTGAAGACCATATATTTGGAAGGTGTCCAATGAGTTACAGTTATTGTTCATATTCCCCTTTAGCCATGAAGCTCACTGGGTGATCTTCAGTTAGTCACTATTTCTCAATCACACCTGCCTCACAGGATTACTGTGAAGATAAAAAGGAGGAGGTAAACCATATGTGTGCCTTAACTCCTGGGATTAAGGCAAGATATCAATGAAACATGATAACAATTAATTTACCAGCAACATCAAAGCCATCTGACCACTTTTCTTCTTTATTCTAGATTTTTGGTGCAGGAGGCTTCCAACCACAACAGTTTGGCCCCTATCAGAGAGTAAGATATTCGGTTTTGAGACCTCTTGTTTCTTATGGTAAAGGGTCAAACCAACTCTTTTTAGCTCAGTGGGGAAACCCCACAGGTTGCATGTGGGCCCCTGACTTCTCAGTTGCCAGGCCTCACAATCCCCTAAAATGCAGCGGCTTGGTTTCCTGCTGAAATTAAGTGGCAAATAACAATTTGGTGTCAAATTGCTTTAGCAGTTATGGTAGGGGTAGCCTTGGGAGTTTTAAAAAAAGTTTAATTGTTATTTTTTTTCCTGTTGCCCCACCTACAATAACTGCATTGCTTCACCCACAATGCCAGTACTGCTCCAGCCAGAATAGCAAAAGTTGCTTGCCACTTTTAGTGGCCTGGGCAACTAGATATCTTTATTCCCAAAATAATAAAGCCAAAATCATGAACAGGAGTGGACAGTCCACAGATGATATGCAGGCCCTCTCTGATAAAATATGTGGTCCCTGGAGCTACACGGACCCCTTTCTAATATTTCACTGATCAACTGATCAACAAGATGAGTGATGACAAATTTGATATATTTGATAATAAATAAATAAATAATCTTCTAGATGACATAAGTAGCTTCCTTGTATATCACTACTATTAGAAAGAGTCAGTCAGATTTCTCTTAAGCAACCAATCAGGTGAACCAAGAGTGCCTTGCATTCTTACTGTGGTTCCCAATGCTCTATTTTTAGAGAATAAATTGCATATGAAGACCACTGTGTAGAACATTTCTTAAATGAACTGGTAAACTCCACTAAAACTTACACCACATAATTCTGCTGACCTATGCTAAATAAGTGCTGAAACTTTAAAAGGGTCCACATTTATTATGAAGATCTAGGGAAATGGTGAAGAATGATTTTGCTACTGAATTTTGTATTCTGTTTTTACGATGTTGAAGGTTTTCATTAGTTTTCTTTTTATTCATGTATCATCCTGATGTGCAAGTAAAAACAAGTGAAAAACTTTTAAAAACCCAATAGAAATTCTCATAGTAAATTTAATACTTAGTTAAATTTTCCATTTTAAAAATGTCAAGCAATTAATTCAATGAAATAAAGGGAAATGGCTTGGTACTTAAAGTTGTGTGATGCAACTGAAGAAAAGATTTCAACTAAATACTTCAGGAAATGAATAAACATAATAAAATATATTTTATTAGATCACTGCTGTTTTCCCACCTTTGGTTTATAGTGTTTTCTAACATGACCATCCAGCCATCATTGTGATATAAAACCTGTCATTGTTTTATCATACAATGACGACTCTAGAAGGGTTTCTGAATTACTAGTAAAGATCCTGCCAGCATATTGTAATAATACTCTCAATTCCCCAACTGCTGATAATATGGTCTGAATGGTGTCAGCCATAGTCCCAAGGGAACCCCAAAGCATTCAGAAGTCAGGGGATGGATATATATAAAGCAAAGTTCTAAGGATATCAAAATTGAAAAAAAGATTAGTGAGGATCAAGCATGGAGAAATAAAAATACTCACATTTTACTGACTGTTAAAAAGAGGAATCAGAAAACTCAGAGATGGGAAGGGCATGTACTGTCTGAAATCCTGAACGAAAAGCATTTCACTCTATATTTTCTCCAAAGTGTACAGATTAATAGCTATCACAGCTATCTTCTAGAACAAGTTCTTATATAGCTCCCACCCATTCAAAGAAGGAAGAATTATTTCCAGGGAATCTAGAATAGTTTTGGGAAGCACACACATAACCCCCTATAAAATAATTCCCCTCCATGAAAAAGCCAATGTTGATTTAGTATGTCCAGTGGGCACAAAATATAGACAGACAGGGAGAGGGTTGAAGATACATGTGCATATAAAAAAAGAATAGTTAAAAGTGAGAATATGATGATCAGGAATATCAGGGAAGAGGGCATGAATGACTGACTGGAATCTTGATTAAAAGGCATATTTGCCCCATAAACATTGGGTTAGCGTTCCATAGCTATTTAAGGCTTCTGTCTTGTATTTCCCCTATCCTTCCTGACTTATTTTTTAATTTCCTTAGCATATGCCATTTGGACGACCACCTATCAGCAATGAAGAAGGGGTAAGTATAACAAATAAATGCACTAATCTATATAAGAGCTATAGGTAAGGAAAAATTGGGGCATAGTTACCAATGGGAAGAGCTATCATGATCTTCAGAGAACCCTGAAGGGACCTACAGTTGCATACATCATGAAGTTTAATGTTTCCTAGTTCTAATGCTTAGGTTTGCTACACATTGAATCATATTTACTTTATCATTATAATTATATCCTGGAGTCAAGATCTCTTTAGAAGCATTGGCTTTTTAGGACAATCAGAAACACCTGATTAAGATGATGATCATTTTATATTGTTTCATTCTCTCATTTGCATTTTTAGACTCCATATTTTGGATATGGCTACCATGGGTTAGGAAATAGGCTTCCTTATTATTCTGAAGAAATGTTTGAACAAGACTTTGAGAAACCCAAAGAAAAAGACTCCCCTAAAGAGAATCCAGCAGCAGATCCTATAACAAACTCAACTGTTTCAGACACAAATTCAACCATTCCAGCTAGCCATGGAGGGAATGCTACTCTTTCAGGACTCAGCCCAACAAATAATGAGGCTAATTTTCTAGGTGTTCCAAATAAATTTGTTAGCAGAAATGGGATCCCAACACCTTCTCCTACTGGTCGTATATCAGGACAAAATGAAGTAGCACAGAATGGCATTGATCAATTAAGTTATAGGCCTAAGCCTACAAATGCCAATGTTTTCCACAACATTTTTTCAGATGGTCAACAATCCAGAGGACATAGTTCATATATTTATAAAGCCAACCCAGATATGAGTAATACAAGGCACAACACTTTAGTTTCTAGAGGAAATCCTTCAATACAAGCTGAAAACCCAACAGAGCCTTGGGTTTATGGAGGCAATTCAATTCACAGAGATAATCTTCAGAGAATTAACAGTAATCACCCCACAGTGAACAATAGGCCAAACTCATATGGGCAACAAGAGGAACTCCGTTATCCTGGAAATAATCCATCAAGATGGAGACCTAGCTCTGGTCGAGGACCTCAGTGGAGCAAAAACCCAGCACACGGAGATAATAAACAACCTAGTTCTCCATCAGAAAGCCATTCTCTGTACCAAGTAGAAGAAAAGACTGGTATGTATCAGCCTTCTAGAATGCAACAGTCAAATGGACTTTCCCATCAAGAAATAGTTTTGGATACAAGGGGAACTCCATTTGAAACAGAAACCCATAAGAATGACTGGAAGGAACCGTCCTTTATTCACCCAGATCACCAGAGAGAACAATTTCCATCTTCACAAAACCAAATGTGGAACCAGAAAGATTTAGAGATAGTTCAAGAAGTTCCTCCAGGATATAATTCAGTGACCTCCTCAGGTTCTTTTCATCAGAGGGGACATGATACTTATGCTGATAAGAATTTTTATAGCCAACAAACACCTTCTTTTTATCCCAGAGCATGGGAAGACAAAGAGAACTTGCCCACAATACAGCCTCTAGGGCAAAGGGAAAGGCCATATAATTCACCCATTTTGCCTTCAAATCAAATGCACAGGAGCAATTATCATGGAAGCATTCAGCAGGAGCATGAATTTCATCAATCCAGGCAAAATATATGGCCCCATGAAAAACATTTGGCTGATCTTGATAGACAATACCAAAATCCTCCCTATAATCCAAAATATTCTACAGAACATACAGCCAATGAAAGAGGTAATTTGCCATATGAGGAGATTAACAGACGGATCCCAGAACATTCTCCAGTTGGTGGTTCAGAACATTATGAAAATATTCCATATCATATAAGCAATACATTTGGACACACAGAGAGAAATCTGCCATACCAAGGGCTATACTCTCCACCACAAAGTAGTAATCTTTTCCAAGGAAGATCACATTATGATGAAAGAGACACATGGGCCCCCCAAAAGGTTGACCAAGTGGCTCCCAAAGAAACTTCACCCTACTTTAATACTTACTCCACAAACTTCAGAAGAAACCCAACACGTACTGAAGATGCATGGAGAGCCATACATATGAGGGCACCCATTTCAAGTAATAATGCTCCTGTAAGGAGAAATTATCCTAATACAGGAGGATATCCAGATGATTTCCCACGAGAACATGAAACCATCACCTCCCAACCTACTGTCAACTATTTTTGCTGTGCAGATGAGTCCCGAGGGGCAAATGAAAATATACAGGCACCCCTGAAAATTGCACCTCAATTCAGGCTGGCTTCATGGCAACAAAAACGAAGTCCAACCTATCCAGAAGGCAGCCATGCCTCATACGCCAGACATCCCCCATACCTAGCTGGCATTCAGTCTAATCATTGGAACAATTCTTTGAAGTTTGGAAAAAGTTTACCTAATCACAGAGAAAATCCAGGTGGCTTTGGGGAAGAAGTAGCAGATCTAGAGAAGAGTCCTCCATGCTCCAACTCTCAATTAGGCCAAATAAGAGGTCATGATACTAACTATGAAACTGGATTATTTCCCTCCAAGAGTATACTTTGCTCTAGAAATAGTATCAGAGGGGATGGACATACTGTTCTTGCCCATATCATGGGGGTGAATCAGCCCAAGAGAGAATTTGAAAGGGCATCCTTAAGGTTCCCACAACCACAAGGGATAAGAAATGAAGCTATTGTTGGTGAAATTGATAGGAAGGAATACCATGCAACACATGGGTTCAAGAGGACACCATGCTTTGGAAGTTGGTTAAAGCAGCATATATCCAGCACTGGAACTCCATTAGGGGATCAGCCTTCTGGTGTCTTTTATGCAGAGCATTCAATGCATGCTGGAAAACCGATCATGCTACCTGAACCCCAGCCAATCTCTAGCACAGTTCCATCCCACAGTATAGGAGAAGATCATATAAAATTCAGTACCCCAGAAGAATTGGTGGGACAACCAAATGAAAGGACAACAGATTGTTTACTACTCCGAAATAAGTGATACATTAAGAACCTCCTTTTCAAAATCGGAAAAGCAGAGTGCTCCTAAAGTGGTTAGAGTGCAGATGTAGCTGGATATAATGAACACATCTGTGCTGTTCCAAAAGAGATTTGAAGTTTACAGCTGAAATCTCTAGATCATGTTTCTCCGACCTGGGACTCTCCAGATCTATTTGGGCTGCATGTCCAAAGGCAACAATGGCTGGGATGATGGGAATTGTAGCTCAACAATTTAAGTCAATCTTAAACTAATCTTAAGCCAAACTTAACCTAGTCTTAAGGAAATTGGATTGGAATAGGCTATAGCATAGAGTAGTTTATCCAGTCAAACCTGAAGAGACAACTTTCTACATGACTTTTATTTTTTAAAATATTATTCTAGTTGCTTCTTTTTCTTTTGCCTCTCTCCTCATAAAGTCTACCCATAACATTTTTTGCCCTGCTCTCCCTGCTGTGCATGCTTTTGTGGCATCTCTTCTTCCTTTACAATAATCACAAAAGGAAAACTAAATAAATGTGTCTGCAGCACTGTGTCTGTATCTCACCTTAAGTCCAAACATAATTGTTTGATTAACAGCTAATTTTGTATGCAAATGTATGTGGGCAGAAACTGCATATCTGTGTACAGTCAACATATCTGGTAATATTACATACAAGCAAAATGTTATGTGGTGTAAGTACCACATCTTTCCGTATCCTTCTGGCCTCAGCTTGCACAGAAAGAAAAATGTTTTCATCCACAGCAGCACATTCATAACATTTTGTACTCTTCTTTGCTGGAGCCTAAATGACTAGGTTGAAATAAATGCGCTTTTCACTCCTTTTCTGAAGGTCTTCGACATTAAAATGCATTTATTATGGACAGGTGTTCTCCTTTCATGTCCCTGTTTTTTTTAGCAGAAGATGGCAATTAAATTGTATTTTTTTTTCAAGTTTTGTGTTCAAAACCAGCGGGGTTTAAGGTGACTTTAAAAAGAGCACAGCTAACCATCTTCCAAGGAAGCAGTATTCTCTATTTCTTTACTGGTGATACAACATACTCCTAGAGACATCACCTTAAAGCAAAGTGTACATGCAAGGAATTAAAAAAATGCAGCACTGAAAACTCCAGTATTAGATGGAACATTAGGTTACTTAAGAATAATCCTTTCTACCATTAAGAAAACAATAAAAGTATTTAAGCATACATGATACTCTCCTCCTGAATTCTGTTCTTTTTCATACATGCATGTCAAGTGGGCTGAAATCTTGCACACAGAGTTGAGGTCAATAGCATAAACATAAGGATGACAAAGTCACGTCATTCTGTTTCCTGAGACCTCTAAGACCTGCCTGGGCTCAGCAACCCACTCTGCCTCTGTCCCACTTGTCCACAAAGAAAACCCTTCATCCTTTTGGGGAGTGATGCATATGCTTATTGCTTTTGCTTTCTATTCCCACCCACGTCCCCTGCCCCCCTCCCCACCCAAGGTAGAGTGATTGATTGCTTCTAGCTAAGTTAAGAGAGTACATGCAATCATGCACAGTAAAACACTATGCTGCTCTGGCACATGTGATTGTGGGCAGGCTATATCAGCATTTTCTGGCAATAAGAGTGGAGAAGTATCTGAGTGGGTAATGAAATTTAACCCTTTTTATTCTTTCCAACCCAAAAGAACCTTGGAAAGAAATTGTGTAAAGAGGGTTGGAACTTCAGCTGGCTGTTTGACCATCAGCAAGACCACTCTCTGAAAACTGAACAGAATGGGAGAAAATCTGGTGCTGGGGAAAAGGCAGCCCCCAAAGAATCAAACTCAACAATTGGCCAGCTCATGTGGGGGGCTGCAGAGAAAAAAATCCACCCAAGTTTCCCCATGTTTGTGACTGCTCCACTCTAAGCCCCAAATCTTCCTTCCTCCCAGTCACATGACCCTGAGCAGAGTATATGCTGCCCTCCCTGTGCTTTCCAGTGCACATATACATAACTGGACGAGAAATGGAGGAAGGGCAGAAACACAGACACAGAGATGCAATGTGTGGCTTTATGTCACAGAAGAAAATACCCTTTTACCACAGCTGGAAAAGGTTCAAAAGAATTCCAGAAACAATGCTCGGCATGCTTCCCCTATCTTGTTGTCTTGTCCAGAGATTCTACGACAGTGTTTCTCAACCTTGGCAACTTTAAGATGTGTGGATTGCAAC